CCAACACACACACACTGTTTTGGATACTGTCCTCATCAAATTTTAGTCCTTCAAATCCTAAATGTGACCACGGTATATGATCTGACCAAAGCAGAATAAATAGACTTTCGGACGTTGCCTTTATTAATACAGCCCTTGAGAGACAGAGTGGTATAGTGGACACTGGCTGTATTTAATAACAGCAATGTGACCTTGGGCTAGGAACTCTTAAGTCTCCATTTCCTATCTTCTACAATGGTCTTTATACCAACCTTGTTTTGTCATTGAGAAGATTATGCCAAGCCTTCTTACAAAATGCTGGACAAAGGATATGTTTAGTAAGGATGTTTCCTTCCTCTGCTCAATCTCATAGGTTTTTTTTTTTTTTTTTGAAGTCAGCTATATTAAACTGTTCACTTATTTTATACCTGCCCTGAGCTAAAACCCTTAACTCTCCCACCCTCTTAATTATTCTGTCCTTGAGTTTTCTAAGGACAAGATTTTACATTTATCCCTATTAAGTTTCTTGGTTTGAACTCCTTCTTTTAGCTATTGAGAGATTTTAAAAATTTTGGTTGTTATCTCTCCCGGTTCGTTGTCATTCATAGAACTGATAAGCATATGTTCCATGCATCTGAATCAATGATAAAACATTATAAACAGGTTAAGACCAATGACAGATTTCTGAGGTTGTCTTTAGAGATCATTCTGTCTTTTGATATTGTTCAACAGTCAAGTTTGGGAATTCACCTAACAGTGCTATGAATAAAATGTTACGAAGAACTTTAATGAACTTCTTTTGTAAATTCAGTCCACATTTTATATTTTTTATTGTCACATACATATTATATCGGTTTATCATTCTTTTGCACATGATTAATATTCGTGAAATTAACCATTTAAGCAAATGTTTTTCTCTTGCTAAAAAATGTTTTAAAATCCCACTGGATATTAAACAGAGTAATGGTTTGTATTTTCTTGTTTCAAATGAAAGCACAAATTCATAATTTGTCGTATTGCTTTTTAAAACTGTTGTAGTTATCTGCTTTTCTCAAATTATATGCACTTAGGTGTATCTGATAATTTATATAATTATAATTTAAATAATATTGGAAATATTTTAAAAGAGCCTTTTAAAACATTTTTAAAAACAGCAGAAAACTAAGTGTTTATTTAGTTTTCATTGATAATGTTTAATTTTATAGAATTTGCAAGGTGGGGAATTTGGCTTGCTAATGCACAGTACGTTTATTGATTTCATTAATTTGTTAAATATTTGTTTAGTACATGTTATGTGCAGAGCACTCTGCTGCATACAGAGCTTGTGTGTATATTGTATCTGTCTTACTTACAAGCAGTAGTGGGGATAATATGTATGTGGCAGCATATAATAAGGGCAGATGAGTTGGGCAGATTATAAATTAGGAAAGTTGAGAAGGAGAGTTCATACTAAATCTATTTATTTGAATGATAGGATAGAGAGATTGGATTTTGGAGGATATGGTTTATAATTTTTTGAAAATAATGTTTATTAAAAAAAAAAGTAGGACTTTTTATTCACGTAAGCTTTCTGTTTAATGTGGTGACTTGTCCAATATTGGGTAAATGCCAGTATTTTGAAGGAAAATAAAAATCTTTTGGAATTTCAGGTTTTTTAAAATTGGTATTTAGGTAAAACAGTAAATGGTGATTAAAGTAGCTTTTTTTTTTTTTTTTTTTTTTTAATAAATACTGAGTTTTTGCTGAAAGCTTACGCAGCAAATTAGGTTCCCATTTAATCATTTCTATACATATTATGCAGTGATGTTTTCACATTGTGTCAACATTCTCCATATTTCTATTCTAGTTCTGCTTCTGTTAATCCAGCTTCCCTGCCCCCGTGATGTTCTCATCTGTGCTTTAGGGTAAATGTTGACCATTTGGTCTCATATAGATGATTTTTTTTAAAGGAGCACAGGATTCATGTGTAATATTGTTTATTTTATGAGCCAGTCTGTTATTTAGCTGAAAGGTGACCTCGGGAGTAGTTTCAGTTCACAATTTAAAGGGTATCTCAAGTAGCTTATTTTTAGAGTGACATTTTCTTTCTCTTTTCAGTTCTGCAACTGATTTCCTTAGATGTTTATAGTCTGTTAAATATTTGAGAACTCTACTACCACACAAGGCTGTTGTGAGACATATGAAACATTCGTTTGGAAGATTAGTCTTAACGAAAAGATAATTGTAATTTGAAAAGCAGACTATCCTTGATATGCCAAGAAAACTGTCGTAAGTGTGTATGTGTGTGTATATAAAACCACCCAAAGACAAAACAGTATTTTAACCTTATACATTTAATTCGGAAAATTGTAACAAGACAAATTTAAAAGGTTAGGCTTAATTGTAGATGATAAAAAAATTACTTACATGCTATGAGTCATTTGCTAGTGACGAGTGTTTATGATAATGGAAATATTATTTCCTTTTAACTTTTTATAAGCTTAAAATAATGTGAAAAACTTTAATTCACCACCAAGCTTGTCTTTCCAGTAGTGGAAATTGTTTCATTTGTTGAAAAGGTTTAGTTAATTTTTTATTTTAGTTAATATTCATTAATTTAGTTAATGATTTTTTATAAACTGGAATGTCAAGTATCTGAATATAGATTTTTGCTCTTTACATATTTTAAGTAAGAAGTAGAGATGAAGAAATTCATGGGTTCTCTGGTTCAAAATAAAAAAAAAAACCCATTGCCCTCAAGTCGATTCCAACTTATAGTGACCCTATCGGTCAGAGAAGAACTGCTCCTTCGGGTTTTCAAGGAGCAGCTGGTGAATTTGAACTCCTGACCTTTTGGTTAGCAGCTGAGCTCTTAACTGCCACACCATTTTTAAAACCATAGTCTGCTTTACCTCTTTATGTCTCAAGAGTCAAACTTAACCAGCGGTTGAGTAAAACTCCAAAGGTTAGCTAGAAGTCAGAAATTTTGTTGAAATACCTTATACCTTACCCTCTAACAATCTGATTGCTATTTATTTATATATCTTACATTTGCACTATTCATTGTAGCATAAGGAAACCTTTTCATATGTTGTTTCATTTGGACTCCACAGTAACTATTTAGGAAGCAGGTTAGATTTATCCACTTAAAAAAAAATAATTTCAGAATTTGGGAATATAAGCAAGGTCCATTTAATCCTGGAAAATTGAATTTTTCAAGTATACCAACTTACCTGTCTTTAGTGAGCTACATATTAGGAGATGGTAAATAAATGTATTTAAAACCTGAAACAATTTTCTAATGAAAACGAATGATTTAATGTCTAATGTTCTTAGCAGTTTTTTCCAGAACATGCACTTTACTGATGTTGTAAAGAACACAAAGAAAAAAGTACAAATCACTATAGGCCAGGGTGTCTTAACCTTGGTACTCTATTGACGTTTTGGGGCAGATCTTTGTTTTGGGGGGCTGTCCTCTGCATTAGTATGTTTAGCAGCATCTTTGGCCACTATTCACTAGGTGTCAGTAGCATTCCTTCCCCAAGTTGTGACAACCAAAAATGTCTCCAGACATTGCCAAATGTCCTCTGGTGTGCAAAATCGCCCCTGGTTGAGAACCACTGCTACAGATGTGTAGGAATTCACATTAGTGTTAAAATAAAAATCTGCTAATATCTTTATGTAAAGAACTCCGAAGCCTTTTGTGGACTTGTGGAGTTCTATATATTGTTTTAATATATATTTATTGATTGATAAGCAGCTCTTTGAACATAAGTTAAATACCACCGTAAGGTGTATTTTTTAGATCTTGGATCAGAAGTTAATATTTTAAGTTTTCTGGAGATATCACTAACTTAGTAAAGTTAATGAAATTTTAGTAAAAAATAATCCTTAATGAACCAAAATTAAGACTTACTTGGCACTCAGTAAATGTCATCTTCCTCTCTTCTCTACTGGGTCTCTCTATAGCTAGTATCACCTTCAGTTTAATTCGCTGCTGAGAAACTAGTCCTCGTAAAAGATCATTTGGAATATTCCACTTTAGTGTTTAATATCTCCTAGTTACCTAACAAGGCATTGGTGATTCAATGGTAGAATTCTCACCTTCTGTGCAAGAGACCGGGGTTGATTCCTGGCCAGTGCACCTCGTGTGCAGCCACCACCCTCTGTAAGTGGAGGTATATGTGTTGCTGTGGTAGGGAACAGGTTTCAGCAGAGCTACCAGACTAAGACAGACTAGGAAGAAAGGTCTGGTGACCTATTTCTGAAACTCATCCAGTGAAAACCCTGTGGATCACAGCGGTCCAATCTGCAGTTGATCATGGGGATGGCACAGAACTGGGCAGTGTTTCATTCTATTGTGAGTAGGATTGCCATGACTTAGGGCTTGACTTGATGGCATTCAGTTATAGACTTTTGCAAAATCTTTCACACTTGTCAAACTTTATTTTAACTGATAATATAACTTAGAGTTCCCCATGCTTGCATATATTTGCTTACTTTGTTGTTAGGTGCCGTCAAGTTGATTCTGACTCATAGCGACCCTATGTGAAACAGAACGAAACACTGCCTGGCCCTGCACCATGCTCACAGTCGTTATGCTTGAGCTCATTATTGTAGCCACTGTGTCAGTTCATTTCGTTGAGGGTCTTGCTGTTTTTCGCTGACTCTCTACGTTACCAAGCATGGTGTCCTTCTCCAGGGACTGATCCCTCCTAATAACATGTCCAAGGTATATGAGACGTAGTCTTGCCATCCTTGCTTCTAAGGAGCATTCTGATTTTACTTCTTCCAAGACAGATTTGTTCATTCTTTTGGCAGTCCATGGTATATTCAGTATTCTTCACCAACACCACAATTCAAAAGCATCAATTCTTCAGTCTTCCTTATTTAACATCCAGTTTTGCATGCATATGAGGCAATTGAAAACACCATGGCTTGGATAAGGCTCTCCTTAGTCTTCAAGTCTTAGACATCTTTGCTTTTTAACACTTTAAAGGGGTCTTTTACAGCAGATTTGCCCAATGCAATGCGTCGTTTGATTTCTTGACTGTTGCTTCACATGGGTGTTGATTGATGGATCCAAGTAAAATGAAATCCTTTACATTTTTAACATTTATTGAACATTTATGATGTGGCAGGCATTGCACTAGGCACTTTTTATTTACTGATCCATTTAAGCCTCACAACAACTCTGTGGTAGTTCTTTATCCTTAGGTAGACCTGCCAATCCACTGACTTTCCTCCAGTATCTCTCTATTAAATCTTGTGTGTCTTCACTTCCTTCCTTGCCTAGCTTAGATTCCATGACCCATCATTTCAGTCTTCCTTTTACAAATACCTGGAACTCACTCACCCTTGTTTTCACGAAATCAACCTGACAAGATTATTGTTATTTGATAAATCAAACTTTAAATAAGAATTATACCAATATTGATGCATGACCTGAGATGAAGACAACAGTACGTACCTGTAGCTTTAAAATACTTTCGTTCTTGGACCAAGGACTAATTCTCTGTGTTGGATCTGGTGTTGGATCTGGTGTGAAAGGACGGAGGTGGTGTAGGGCCAGTAAAGACTACTTGGGAAGAAGGTAGAAGATATGAATGAAGAGACAGGAGTAAAAATTAAAAACTTGTAGGAAGGAAAAAATTGTGACAAAGAGAAAGAGTAACAACAGAAAAAAAAATTTAAAAGCAAGCAGAAGAACTAGAGAAACCTAAAGAACTAATTTTGGTAGACTATTGGTAGGTGAACTGTAGCTAAAGAAATAATAGGAAGAGGCAGACCTTGATTTAGACAGATAATATTTTAGTGTTAATAACACCTTATATGGCATAGACATTATTATTTAAGATATGACTTAACAGTTTTAGAAAGTTACTGAAAGATAAAATGATTTAGTATGAAAAACTTCCATTTTATGCCACACTTTGGGGAAAATAATTGTTTGAAATGTATATATTTGGTTGGAAGTTGGATGACTGGAAAAAGATTACCAGTGTATTGACCAATGTTTTGTGATGTGACAAAAGCAAGAACAGTTAAGCAAAGCCAAAAATATCAACATGTAGTTCATGGGGATGAAGGGAGGGTGGTTAAGGACTCAGTGGAAGGCAGACTGTGAGGATTTTTAAAATTAATAGTTAAGAAGATTTATTATACAGTGACTAAAAAAGCCAGTGTTGTAACACTTAAGAAAAATTCAGTGATCCAAAGCCTATGACTTTGACTTGAAAGGAGGGTTGTTATTGCCATTTTTGCATTTTATATAACCAGAGTTCTAGAATCTTCTAAATGTATTGCTTATCCAGCTTATATTTATCAAAATGTTTCTACTGATGAGGTTCTTAAGAGGGGAAAAGGAAGCCCTTTACCTGTTTATTTCCTTGATTTAAATGTCTGAAGACCAAGTCTCCTTTGTTCTCGGAGGCCATATCAGAACCGCTTTCACAGGGTTTTAATATTTCATTTCCTTTACAAACCATACTTTGTAAACTATGAGGTAACTTAATTTGGTAAATTACTCTGTTAATTATTTTGACAACTGAAGTGCTTTATGAAGTTACTAATTTACTATGTGTAATCACTGAAGAAAAGAATTACATTTGCTTTTGTATATTTTTGTGAAGGATATAATTTCTGGAAAGATTTCATTGAGTCAGTTTAATTTATTGACCAATTTTGTATATAGCACAGCTATATTCAAGTCAGTGGGATCATGTGAATTTAACAGTACAGATCTGTTAAATTCAAATTTGTTAAATATAGTAGTATTATTATCTTTTTTTGGTCTATGTAAATTTATACTAATTACAGATTCTGCCATTGTGAGTTTTCTTTTATGCCATTATTCTAGCCATTTCCAATTTTTACAGGTCTAATTTTTCAGAATGAAATTTCATCATAAGGTTAATTTTTCCATGTTCCATTTTAGGGGCTGCCAGTTTTATTTTGGGTTGGTTATTTCTACCAGAATATTCATTATGAACTTTAAAAAAAAACCTTTTTAAAAAACCAGTTTGTGTAGAGTCAATTCCAACTCATGGTAACCGCATGTCAGAGTAGAACTATGCTCCATAGGGTTTTCAATGGCTGATTTTTTGGAAGTAGATCACCAGGCCTTTCTTCTGAGGTGCCTCTGGGTGGACTTGAACCTCTAACCTTTCAGTTAGTAGCTGAGCGCTTTAACTGCTCCACTCAGGGACTCCAAAATAAGACCTATATATACGTAATTGGAGACACAATAGATGATCCTTGGCTTTGCACTGAAGAAAAGGTGGAATAAACATACTTTTCCTTGTTCTTCCCACTAAATACAGATAAAAGCACTGAACATTATATATAAAACAAACATAAAACTCAGAAAGGTAGAAAGTAGAAAGTAGTTGGGCTAGGTACCTTGAGACCTGAGAAACGATACAGTGGAGAGTTCCCTGGGTTTTATTTCTGTCTTATATATCCCAGACTTAGTGCTGAAGAAGCCAGCAACCCTGAAACACCAAAGGGTGCAGACATAGCCCCAAGAAAAGTCTGTTCTTTTTAGCCAAAAATCCAGAAAAGAAACATCTTAGCAGAAAACTTTTAGACAATAACTGCTTAACTGCAGCCAAACACCTTAATAAAAATTGTAGCATCTACTCTCAACCATGCAAGCAAATTCTTAGTGGGGAATCTAGATTTTCACCCTTGGAAGGCTGTAAAGAGGCACCCCTCTCTGCTGGGGTGGTATCCCAGCTGAGTGAAATAATGACTGAAAATTTCCTAAATTTAGCAAAAGGCATAAACCTACAAGTTCAAGAAACTGAGCAGACTCCAAACAGGGTCACCTCAGACCCACGCATCATAGTGAAACCTCTGAAAACTACAGACAAGGAAAAAATCTTGAAAGCAGTGAGAATCAACACTTTAATTTGATTAGGTAAAACAATTTGAATGACAGTGGATTTCTCATCAGAAACCATGGAGGCCAGAAGGAAGTGGCTCTGCATTGTTCAAGTGCTGAAGGAAAAGAAATGTCAACTCAAAATTCTACGTCAAGGGAAAACACACTTCAGATGATTTGTCGCCAGCAGACGTGCTCTAAGAGAATAGCTGAAAGAAGTTCTTTAAATAAAAAGAATTGATAAAAAGGACTCTGAAAACATCAGGAAGGAAGAAAGAACAGTGGAAAGAGCAAAAATAATGGTAAATACAATAGGCATTTCTTCTCATCTAAATTATGTTTGAAAGTTGAAGCAAAAATTTAACACTATCTGATGTGGTTCTCAATGTTTTGTCTTATCTAGTGTTGCTATAACAGAAATACCACAAGTAGATGGCTTTAACAAACACAAATTTATTCCCTCACAGTTTAGGAGGCTAGAAATCTGAACTCAGGGTGCCGGCTCCAGGGGAAGGCTTTCTGTCGGCTCTGGGGGAAGGTCCTTGTCATAAATCTTCCCCTGGTCTAGGAGCTTCTCAGCACAGGGACCCCCAAGTCCTAACGGCAGGCTATTCTTACTGGCTCTACTTTCTTTGTAGTAGGAGATCTCTCTGCTTGCTTTTCTCTTTTATATCTCAAAAGAGATTGAATTAAGATACAACTTAATTCTGTAGATCATGCCTCATTAACATAACTGCCTGTAATCCTGCCTCATTAACATCATAGAAGTTAGGATTTACAACACATAGGAAAATTATATCAGATCACAAAATGGAGGACAACCACACAATACTGAGAATCATGGCCTAGCCTCATTGACACACATTTTGGGGGGATACAGTTCAATCCATAACGTTCCATCATTTAGACCCCAAAAATTCGTGCCCTTCCCACATGTAAAACACATTCATCCCATCACATCCCAAAAGCCTTAAATCAACTCCAAGTCCAAACTTCATCCTAGAGAAAAATTCCTCTTCATCTGTGAAATCTAGAATACAGGTTATCTGCCACCGAAGTACAATGGTGGAACAGGCACAAGGTAGACATTTCCAAATGGGATAAATTGAAGGGAAAAAAGAAATAACAGGCACTAAGCAAGGAAAAAAATACCCAGCAGAACACGTTACATTAGCTTTCAAGGCTTTAAAATAATCCTCAGTTCTCTGAGACTATTTAGGTAATGGTGCTGCCCTTTAGACTCTGGGTATTGGCCACACTCTCTGGATTTTGGGTGGAGGCCTCTTGACCCTGGGCTTCAGCTCCACCTTCTGGGCCCGCTGGGTTGGCAGCTCTGCTCCATTGGATTTGGGCAGCTCCGCTCTCCTGTCTGAGCGGTGACCCCACCCCGTTGGCCTTGTCTGGCCCTGTTTTTCTGCCCCTTGGGCGTGGCAGCCCCATCTCCTCAGTTTTAGTCAGTGGATCTGGCTCCATTCCTCTGGCACTCTTGAACAGCAGCCGCACGCTCTGGAACTGAGTTGGTGAAGATCTGACTCTTTGAAACCTAGGAGGTGGTGGCACCACTGCTTTGAGACCCAGCAGGCCGTGGTTCTGCCCTTTGAGACCTCAGAGGTCATGACCTACTCTTTGAGGCTGCAGCAGCTATGCTTCCTGTGCTCCTTGACTCTTCAGTTTCTGCTTCCTGGTTCATCGGCCTCTCAGCCCTTGGGCCTCTTGGGCCAGCCCGGCCTCTGCCCTGCTTGGGCAAGTGTTACAAAGCTGTTTAGCTCTACCAATAAGTGCCCAGAGGCACCCCATTCTGCCGGTAAGCCTCAGTTTGAAGTCACTCAGCTCTCTCGCTCTCTGGGTTGGCAAGCTTAGCCTCTACCCATTACTCAATTCCAAAACTGCTTCCACATTTGTAAGTATCTGTTAGAGCAGCACTGTACTCTTGGTACCAAATTCCTGTCTTAGTTATTCTCTCACAGTTTAGGAGGTTAGAATTCAGATGCCATCTCCGGGGGAAAGCTTTCTGTCTCTGTCGGCTCTGGGGCAGGTCCCTGTCATCAGTCTTCCCTGGTCTAGAAGCTTCTCAGCGCAGGGAACCCAGGTCCAAAGGACATGCTCTGTTCCTGGCTCTACTTTTTTGGTGGTAGGAGGTCCCTCTCTCTCTCTGCTCACTTCAGTCTTCTATATCTCAAAAGAGATTGACTCAAGATGCAGCCTACTTTTGTAGATTATGTCCTTCCTCATTAACATAAGTACCTCTAATCAGGCCTCATTAACATCATAGAGGTTAGGATTTACAACACGTATGATAATTAGATCACAAAATGAAGGACAACCACACAGTACTGGGAATCATGGCCTAGACCAAGAGACACTTTACTTGAACTGGTAAAATGATATCAGTAGACTGTGATAAGTTGTGAATATATAGTAATTTTTCAAACAATCAGAAAAGTTAAGCAGAAAAGACACTCATAAGCACTGTAACCAAAAACCAAACCGTGGCCATCGAATCAATTCCAACTCAAAATGACCCTATAGGACAGAGTAGAACTGCCCCATAGGGTTTCCAAGGAGCAGCTGGTATATTCAAACTGCTGACCTTTTGGTTGGCAGCCAAATGCTTAACCATTGTGCCACCAGGGCTCCCACAGCACTATAAATAAATCAAAATACAATTCTAAAAAATGTTGAAATAACTCACAAGAAGGTAGGAAAAAGAAAACAAACAAAAAAATAGAACAAGTACAAAACAAAAAGTGAAATTCCAAACCCGGTATATTAATAATTATATTGAATGTAAATGGTTTAAGTATACCAGTTAAAACACAGAGATTTACACAGTGTGTAAAACAAAAAACAAAACTAACTTCGTGCTGGCTAGAGGAAACCATTTCACATATGATGTAGGTAGGTTGTAAGTAAAGATTGGGAAAGATACATCATGCAAACATTAATCAAAAGAAAGGAGTGGATATATTAATACTGACGAAAGACTTCAAAGTAAGGAAAATTATCAGGGATAGAGAGGGACATTATGTAATGATATAAAGGTCAATTAACCTAGAACACATAGCAGTTCTAAATGTGTATGCAGTTACAGATCTGCAAAATGTGTGAAGTAAAAACTGATAAAATTGAGAGGAGAAATAGATCTGCAATGATAGTTGGAGACTTTAACGCCCCTCTCGAATAATACAACAACTAGAAAAATCAGCAAGGATGTAAAATTCAACAGTGACATAACCTTTAGGATCTAATTGACATTTAAAGAACACTGTACCCCAGAATAATAGAAAACACAGTCTTCAAATGTCCCTAGAACATACAGCAAGGTAGGCTATATCCTGGGCCAGTAAACGAACTGCAACAGATTTAAAAGAGTTGAAATCATACAGAGTGTGTCCTCTGACCATAGAGGAATCAAGCTAGAAATCAATAATATAAAGATAATATGAAAATCTCAACACTTGGAAACTAAACAACACACCTTCAGATAATCCACAGGTCAAAGAGAAAGTCTCAAGGAAAATATGAAAATACATTAGACTAAATGAAAATGAAAATACAACATAACAAAATTTGTGGGATGCACCTTAGCCATGCTGAAGGGAAATTAAATGAATTAGAATAAAAGAAAAGTTTGAAATCAATATTCTAAGTCCCCATCTCAAGAACCAGAGAAACAAAAACGCAGAGCAAATGGAAATAATAGATACATGAACAAATGAGTGAAATTGAAATCAGAAAAACAATGGAGAAATCTGTGAATCAGCTGGTTTTTGAAAAGATCAATAAAATTGACAAATCTCTAGTTAGATTGACAAAAAAAATTGAACTGTGAATCAAAAAGTGGGTATCACTACACACCCTACGTACTCAAAAGGATAATAAGGAAATACTATGAACAACTCTGCATACATAAATCTAACAGCTTAGATGAAATGGACCAGTTCTTTGAAGAGCATAAACTACTACAATTCTCTCAATATTAAATAGATAATATGCATACCCTTATAACTTTTAAGGAAATTGTATTTATAACTTAAAAACTACTGAAAAGGAACTCTCCAGACCCAGATGATTTCACTGGAGAATTATACCAAACCTGTAAGGAATAAACACCAATACAACACAATCTCTTCCAGAGACTAGAAGAGAGGGAACACTTCCTAGTTTATTTTATGAAGCTTATATTACCTTGACACTGAAACCAGACAAAAACAGTACAAAAAAAAAAAAAAAAAAAAAAAAAAAAACTACAAACCTAAATCCCTCATGAATACAGATGCTGCTAATGCTTAACAAGCTATTAGCAAATAGAATATATATGTATATCGTGTGTGTGTGTTGTTATGTGCTGTCAAGTTGGTTCTGACTCACAGTGATCCTATGTACAAAAGGACGAAACACAGCCTGAACCTGCACCATCGTCGTGATCGTTGCTATGTTTAAGCCCATCGTTACAGCCACTGTGTCAGTCCATCTCGTTAAGGGGCTTCCTCTTTTTCACTGACCAACTTTACCGAGCATGGTATCCTTCTCCAGGGACTGATCCCTCCCAACAGCATGTCCAAAGTACATAAAATGAAATCTTGCCATCCTCACTTCTAAGGGGCATTCTGCCTGTCCTTCTTCCAAGACAGATTTGTTCATTCTTAGGCAGTCTGTGGTATATTCAATATTCTTCACCAACACCATAATTCAGAGGCATCAATTCTTCTTTGGGCTACCTTATTCATTATCCAGCTTTCGCATACATATGAGGCAATTGAAAATACCATGGCTTGGGTTAGGCACACCTTAGTCCTCAAAGTGACATCTTTGCTTTTTAACATTTTAAAGAGGTTTTTTGCAGCAGATTTGCCCAATGCAGTATGTCGTTTGATTTCTTGACAGCTGCTTCCATGGGTATTGATTGTAGATGCAAGTAACATGAAATCCTTGACAACTTCAACCTTCGTTTATCATGATGTTGTTTATTGGTCCAGTTGTGAGGATTTTTGTTTTCTTTAGGTTGAGGTGTAATCCATACTCAAGGCTGTAGTCTTTGATCTTCATCAGTAAGTGCTTCAAGTCCTTCTTCACTTTCAGCAAGCGAGGTTGTGTGATCTGCATAATGCAGGTTGTTAATGAGTCTTCCTCCAATCCTTATGCTGTGTTCATCTTCATGCAGTCAAGCTTCTTAGGTTATTTGTTCAGCATGCTGATTGAATACATATAGTGAAAGCATACAACTGTGATGCAACCCTTCCTGATTTTAAACCACACAGTGTCCCCCTTGTTCTGTTTGAATGACTGCCTCTTGTTCTAT